AAAAAACTCCCGTGCGATCGTCATGACAGCGATTCACAAAACAACGTCCCTCAGGGCTTTTAGCTCAAACATGTGCAGATTTGGAGAAATATTGATAGATTCTCATAGGTTTACATCAGACTTCTATAGACAGGAATAATATTTATTGAATTTATACCCAAATGCGTCGATGTAATCATTTTGAGCGCTGTATACTCTGATGTACAGTTGTGTTATCCATTCATACTGAGAGTCTGGGGCGCTGTTTCCACAGTAAAGTCCATATATGGATCACATGAAGAAGAGCCATAATCATGTGACATTCAGGAAGTCCTGACACGTAAACAAAGCTATCCGAGATCGCTGTAAAGTGCAGATAAAGATGTTTTGAAGACAATAAACATGATTGCAATGATATTTGATTTACCTGTGTTCTTCGAGTCATGTCAGGTATTTTCATAATAATAGATTATATGTATAATGTAATGCTAATCGAGATAGACTTTCAAATTGTGCAGAATACAATAAAATAATATATTTTCTATCTGATTTTTTTATCTGAAGCCAAATCAGATTACAGAAAGTTATTTAAAACACTCGACTTGCGCTATAAAGTAAGTTGGAGCACAAACATAGTTTTATTCTCATAAATTGTCGTGTATTGATGGTGTGCTAAGCTAACATGCTAGCTAGTACTGAGCACCTGCTACCTAACTTCGATGTAATTTTTATGATTTTTTTTCTAAATAAGAATGCTTACTGAAATGTTTCGTTTTTCAAAAAGGGCATTTGATACAGTTTCACTGTGAAGTGAGAACTTTTATAAAATAAATGAGGGATTGAAACAGTGTGAATTGCTAGTCGTTAGTGATTATAATGCAGACAAAAGAAAAGCATATTTAGAGCAATAAACAGGCTGGAGAGGTGTGAATATGTGCAGGGGAGCCTGAGACTGAATGGGACTCGTTTTTGCATCACAAAACAATAGAGGCAATAGACTGAATAGATGCTTATAAGATGACAATAAACACCAGTCTAATCAAAATAAAGTCATATGACATGATCTTGAAAAACATTGAACTAAATACAGAGTTTTAGACTTATCATCTTCAGATTTTAAATATAACATGGTTAGACATGTGGCTTTAGCTGCAGTGCATTTCTAGATTGCTACAATGCCAACTTCAATTTTATTTTCATGAAGATGTTTCATAAAAATAAATGTATAATAACTTTACAAAACTTTGAAGCTATTTATAACTATTTTTTTTCATTATGACAATAATTAATTCTACATTTACAATAAACTTCCAGGTGTCAGCTTTCAAATGAGATCTTACTTGTGCTTTTAGTACAAAGGGTTCATGAACTGTATCTGTTTCAGTTTGGGAATGCCATATCTGGGGATTTTTCAAAAATGGGCTTGAAGCTTAACAGAAGGAGCCAGGTTTACCTTGATAAGTACATCAGCCTGTGATTCTACAGTATACCATTTTCAATTTAATCCAAAATATTTCTTAAAAGTTGTTCTGATCAAAAGACTTTGAAAAAAAGATTTTATTTTAAACACACAGACATCAAGAATCAGCCTGTGATTCTCAACAATGGTGACAATAATGAAGCATGTTGCAGTGCATTCTGGGTGCCACCAATCAAAACTCATTCATGGCTCCCATCATGCATTGCAGTATGAATAAATTATGATCTTAATTGTCTTAGTAATTTCCTTTTCCTAATTGAATATCCTTTTGTCACCATTGTTGAGATTCATACACTGAATATTGATGTCTGTGTGCCTTAAACAAATATTTTTTTTTATTTTTATTAGACCAACTTTTAAGAAATCATTTGGATTATATTGAATAATATGGATCTTATGCTGTAGAATAACTTTAATGCTGTAATGACCAATATACATTTAGGTCAGAGATTAGACTCTAAATGAGTGATTCAGGTCAAATGATGATTATGTTAAAACATAACCAACACTACCTGATGAACGTTTCTCTTTCATCATCTGGCAATTATAACTCAAATATAGCAGCCAAACTGAATCTAATGTAAATAGTTTAAGGATCAAGAGCCCAACTAAAGCAAATACCAATCACCATAATGGGGACTAAAATGTGATTTTTCTCCTTTGTTGATTCTGCTTTTTAACATCAGGTGTCTTCAATAATGGTCAATCGTAACTCAATCAATCACTTAATTAGCTCATTAACTTTACCACTATTGAGTGTAAATTTAACACTTATTTTAACTCTTTAACGCTCTTGAGAATAGAATCTTTATTGTCATTATACATGTTCTGTACAACGAAATTAGATGCAATCTAATCAGTGCAACAAATACAAATATTTATAAATAAATAAACTAAAATTTCTAAAAAGATAAAAGTAATAAAACACATCAAGTCACACATACCCAACAGTTCAATGCACGATACATCCTCATAATACTGTATTCAAATCGTGTTTAGTGCTGCTATTGCTTTTGGATAAAAACTATTTTTTAATCTATTTGTTCGCGTCTTCATTGTCCTGTACCGTCTACCTGAGGGCAGCAGTTCGAACAGGGAATGTCCGGGGTGTGATGGATCCTTAATTATATTCTGTGCTTTTTTGAGACAGCGAGAACTATAAAGATCCTTCAGGGAAGGGAGAGTGCAGCCAATAATCTTCTGGGAGGTGGTAACGACCCTCTGAAGCGCTTTCCTCTCGGTCTCTGTGCAGCTTGTAAACCATACACAGATACAGTAAGTCAGTATGCTCTGAATGGAGCAGCGGTAGAAGGACAACAGCACCTTTTGATTGAGATGGTGCTTCTTAAGAATCCTCAGTAAGTAGAGTCTCTGCTGTGCCTTCTTAACCAATACTGTGGTGTTGGCGCTCCAGGTTAGGTTCTCCTCTATGTGCACGCCCAAGAACCGGAAATCCGTGACCCTCTCCACACATTCCCCCCCGATGAAAAGGGGCGGAGTATAGACTTTATTCTTTCTGAAATCTATCATTAAAGGGATACTCCACCAGTTTTTCTTATTAAACTATGTTATTCCCTTAACTAAGACGAGTTGATACATACCTCTCTCGTCTCAGTGCGTGCACTATATCGCTCTGTATTGCCGCAAAACTATGTTAGCACTTAGCTTAGCCCATGCATTAAATATGGGCCAAGCAGAGAAGCGACCAAACACTTCCAAGTTTTCCCTATGTAAACACAGTTACTCGAGTAGTGTAACTTGACCTGGGCTGGTGACACAAAATAAACCGTTGCGCTTTTCTAAGCGTTTAAAATTGATGACTATATTGTATGGCGGAATACCTTAACAAGTGCTTTTGAGCACTTCGACTTGGCGCAATAATATCTTCACTCGTGAAAAGTCCCCTTACCGGCTCCCGCTTCCTCTCCCCCTCCCTCTGACATTTCCGTCAATACAATAGCCGGAAAAGGTAAACAATGTCCAGGTGGGAGGAGCCATTTCTTCTTCACTTGTAAGCAACTCTGATCATAACTCGTCGCACATGATCAACGCTCCTCCCACCTGGACATTGTTTACCTTTTCCGGCTACAGCACGGGACTGCAGCGCGAGACTACAGCTTGCCGTCTAAAAGACTATTTAGGTGAGTTGAAACAATGGCTAAGTTGCTAAACGCATCTTGTTCACATGTAGGGTCCCTGTTCATGTTGGACAGACATTTTAATTGCATTTTGTGTCTGTTAAGAGGCTCAAAAACGCTCTTTATGTCGATGCCCCCATAGCTGCCGTTTTAGCTGGGTGGGAGCTCTGGGCATTCGCGGTCGCAGCTCCGCGTAGCAAGCACCAATCCGGTTCGTTTTTTTTCCTATAGTCAGTACTCACAAAGGTCTAACGATCAAGATTCACTTAAAAATTGCCCGGAGTTCTCCTTTAACATTGGAGTTTTTGCTGTGTGAGCTCATGGGTGGAATAAAAATATGGCAGGACTTTTACTTTCTGACCCCTGGACTCTCCACCTCTGCTTGATGGTAGGGACTTGAGACTTGAACATCTGTGACTTACTCCCATCTCTGCTATTAAGACAATAATTATTATATTATACAAGTAAAGGCTGTGCACTCCTCAGCACAGTGATAGGCTATTGGCTAAACACTTTAGTATATGCAGGTGTGCTTTTATTATTGTGATCTATCCTGAAAATATAAAACATTTATAATGAAATTAATAAAAAATATAAGAAATATATTACATTATATATTTCTCTATGTGTTCATGATGCATGAGTAAATATATCTGCAATTCTGTCAGGAGCACTATCGTCAAATACTATTGACAATTAGCATATAGTTTGGATTGGCGGTATGGTTCTGTTATGGGCGAGAACTCCCTGCGCATCCATGCAGCCTAGCATGGATAAGAGCAGGGAGAGCAGCGATAACCCCTCTTAGGGTAAACAGAACAGAACCAACATGAATGCAGATATAATTAATTCAAGATTTTAAAGTACAACATAATTCGAGAATTTATTCTGATTCAAGGGGAATCAGAATGCCAAATCCTGACTGGGCGAGAGGAGGAGCTGGGGATGGAGGAGGGTAATTAGCTCCTGAGAAACGCGATAGCTGCTGATAATACTGAAGGAGCTTATAAATGTATACAGCATCGTATTCCTAAAGGTAGACATGGATCAGCTGAGAGTCAGCTGATGCGAGCTTGACTAACATGACCTGCCAGAACTGACGCTACGCTTGATTATATTACATGCAGTACCATATCTGACCACATACACATCTATTTATCATGAAGTGTATTACTGAATATAAAATTACATACATGATGATATTAGTAAATATATTGTCACATATTTTTCAATATGAAAAGCGGCAATTCCTTATGTTTTATTCAATATATTGTAATATATTAACACAATATATTATTCTGTATATTTTCAAATATACTTTTAAACCATTTAATATATTGATCATTCATATAGGGGAAATATATTTTCTTTTCGTAAGGGGTAACATCTCTTTCAATCTGCAGATGGCAAAGCAGTTTGGTCCAGTTTTCACAGTCTACTTTGGTCCAAAGAAAGTGGTTGTGCTAGCCGGCTACAAAACAGTGAAGCAAGCACTTGTTAATTATGCAGACGAATTTGGGGACCGAGAAATCACGCCACTGTTCCATGATTTCACTAAAGGTCATGGTAAGAGCAGCCCAGTCTCCTGACAATATACTTAAAGGTTTCTTTATACTTATTAACTTACAAATGAGTTACATACAGATTTTGGACACTTTTGGACATTTAAGTCACATAAAATCTGAATTTCACTGCATTAGATACAAAAAAATCAAGAGGCATGTGCTCAAATAACGCTTGAGTGTTTCTCAGAAGGAACTTTTTAAAAAATGTTTTAACCAACTGGTCTCTTTTCATGGATGTATGAAGTCTCTTCAGAAAGTGAAAGTGTCCAAAACTTGTCTATATTTTCAACAATGTATTTATATTTTGAATGTATATTTTGAAACCTAACAACGATCTTCATTTGTGATTTTTTTTCGCTGAAAAGTACTATATACCTGTGTGTGTGTATATATATATATATATATATATATATATATATATATATATATATATATTTATATAAATTCTTCTTTCTTTAAATGCCATTTTGTTACATAATGCAAACACAATTACACATTTTTAATTGTGGCTTAAGTATAAAGACTTTTTATGGTCACTGTATATTATTTACATGTATGCATTTGGCAGACACTTTCATCCAAAATGACTTGCACTGCTTTCAATGTCTTGATTCCTATCAGTTCATGCATTTCCTGGGAATCGAACCGATGACCTTGGTTTCACTCGACTGTTTGGGCTACAAGTATATGATTACTGTTAGATTAATTTCAGAAATTAAACATCTTTGTAGGAATTATATTTGCCAATGGAGAGAGCTGGAAAGAGATGAGACGGTTTGCTCTCACCAATTTACGAGACTTCGGGATGGGGAAGAGACAAATTGAGGAGAAAATCATGGAGGAAACATGCCATTTACAAGATGAATTTGAGAAGTTTGAAGGTAAAGTAATCAAATAATCAATGCTTCTAAAGAGACATATTGCCTGTAATGCAAAGTTTCAAAAGTCATCAAGAAAATTACTAGTACTACAGAAATATAGCCATGGTCATCAAGTTAAACACCTCGGCCTGTTCTTTTATAGGAAAACCTTTTGAAACCACACAGTTGATGAACTACGCTGCCTCAAGTGTCATTTCTGCCATTGTGTATGGCCGTAGATTCGAGTATACAGACCCTCACCTACGGAGAATGGTGGATCGAGCCAATGAGAGCGTCAGACTGGGTGGAACGGCGTCCGTGCAGGTTTACATATGATTTGAATATAACCTGTGAGAATTAATTAGTTTATAATGGTATACACTATTGAATTATGGTGAAATAAACATCTCTTGATTTTGGTTCTCCAGCTCTACAACATGTTCCCTTTCTTGGGTCCATGGCTCAAGAATTGGAGACACCTCATGAAAAACCTTGAGCTTGATATCAAAGAGATATCAGAGCTGGTGAGCAGTTTACGTCAATCACTGAACCCACAGGACCTCAGAGGCGTTGTCGATTCGTTCCTCATCCGCAAGCAGACTGCAGAAGTATGGTCAATATAACGCAGCTTAAAATTTGAATGATCATCTTGTTTTTTTTACTTCTTTAAATCTCTAACGTACCATTTGATCAGGAATCTGGAGAGAAGAACTCACTCTTCCACAAGCAGAACATAATTTACACAGTCGGCAACCTGTTCATCGCTGGTACGGACACTACTAGTACAACAGTGCGCTGGAGCTTGCTGCTTATGGCCAAATATCCACATATACAGGGTATGATAGAAATATTGCAATTGGCTGGAATGTTTTCCTAAAACATTACTCTGTATATTCTGGGTTTACAAGTTAAAATCAGCTCAACAGCATTTGAGGCATTATGTTGATTACCAAGGGAAAACAGTGAGGCACGTACATACAGTGGAAATTAATGAGGCAATTCTATAAATGTTAAAACACTTTACTCAATAGTATAGCCACAAGATGCGAACAAAACTGCCCAACTAAAGCAAACATTGATCACCATAATGGTGATATCAAATCAAACTATTATTTTCAATAAAACATCGACATCTAAACTTGTGTTAATTCTCAATAAGAACTTCTGTAGACGTCTGACAGAAATAAAGTCAGTCTGGTTAGTAATAAGTGAAGCTGGTAATGCTGTTTGTGTAGTTGTTTAATCCTCCTCTGCTGAGATCTTCAGAGATTTAATGTCTTCTTTTTATCTTCAGTTGATTGCATCTAAGGCTGTGGCTGGAAGTCAATTGTAGCCTGTGTTTCAGTGTGGTGTTTATTCCAACCAAAATTTGACGTCTGCCAACATTGGAGCTTGAGTGAAACAAACGTTCGGTTTAGACCTCGACCCAATTTTCATTTTCAACCAAAATTTGACATCTGACTGACGTTGGAGTAAGAATGTTAGGAGATAATGTTCTAACAATGTTATCTAAACATTTTTGTTATCCTATACCTTCCAGAAGAATATTCTGGGAACAAATATAAAACTTGCCACTGAAAACATTACTGTCTTGCGCTTCAAGTTTTTAAACTCATATTTACTTTTTATTAAAAAAGAAGAAAGGAGTGAAAATTAATTTAAATGATAATCCACATTATGCCATAAATGTTGAAGACTGAGCTGAACTTGTACTGAACCAGAATATTGCCTTTATCAAACAGTCACAATATATATATATATTTTAATTATCAGGCATGACATTTCTGTTTTAACTGGGTAGTGTTTTACTTGTTAAATATACTTTGGACGTTTGCAGATCGCGTTCAAGCGGAGATTGATCAGATGATTGGTGGACGGCAACCGGTTACAGAGGACAGGAAGAACTTACCGTATACAGATGCTGTGATCCATGAAACCCAGAGACTAGCCAACATTGTACCAATGAGTATCCCTCATATGACCAGCTGCGACGTTCACTTCAATGGATACTTCATCAAGAAGGTCAGCATACTATAAATTAATACAAAATACAGAAAGTAGACTATCTGTTTTGTTTTTGTACCATGCTACACATGGTAGTACCGTCACATTCCTTGCAGTAATCTACATTGTAAACACCATATCATATCAAAAAATAAAGATGTGATATTTTTCCTTGTGCAGGGCACATGCATATTTCCTCTTCTAATGTCTGTATTGTGGGATGAAGATGAATGGGAAACACCCCACACCTTTAACCCTGAACACTTCCTGGACGAGCGTGGTCGATTTGTCAAGAGAGACGCCTTCCTGCCCTTCTCTGCAGGTATACTTTCCTTCACGTAGGGCTTTGATTATCTTCTTTATTCATGATACTTTTTTAAATGGTTTCAAGTGAAAGTTAATTTTCTCTCTCTCTCTCTCTCTCTCTCTCTCTGTGCGCATGTGCGGGCGTTTGTTGAGCGGAGTGAGTGGTGTGGTGAGTGTGTGGTCTTTTTTTTTTGTGCCCGTTGTGGCTTTAAAAGACTTTTCCCCCCTCTTACTTTTTTGTGTTTTTTGTTGTTTTGTTTGTTGTTTGTTGTGAAGTACTGAGCGCCTGTCTTAACCAGTGTTTTGCACTGGGAAGCATGGCGGCTCAAGGTGTTCTCGATTCACTCACGCGGCGCCACGGTGTGAAGGTGGTGGCTGCGGGGAGTGTGGAGGAGTGTAGTGTTGCGGTCGGTGATGTTGTTGGTCATGAATGTGTGTTAGCGGCGTCTAAGATGAATAACTCAATTGTATTGTTTTTGAATACAGTCGAGAAAGCGAATGAAGTTGTAGGAAAGGGAATAAACATCCGTGGGTTATTTACTCCAGTACTACCTCTTTCTACTCCCGCTAAAAAGGTCACAATTTCAAATATACCTCCTTTTATTAAAGATGAGATGTTGATGAAGGAATTGTCACGCTTTGGCAAATTGATTGCTCCCATAAAAAAGATCGCTATAGGATGTAAATCGGGGTTGGTGAAACATGTAGTGTCGTTCAGGCGTTTCACGTTTATGATTCTGAACGGAAATAGAACTGATCTTGAGGTAAATTTTAAATTTAAAGTGGATGATTTTGATTACACCGTTTTTGTAACTACAGAGACGATGAGGTGTTTTGGTTGTGGAAAGTCTGGTCATTTGATCCGCGGGTGCCCGGAAAACAGCGCTCAGAGCAGTGGGCAGAATGATGGTGCAAAAGGTAACGTTAACGCTGAGCAGAATAAAGACGGAGAAGTCGCCAGTACCTCCAACAAAGCGCCGATTTCTAGTGGTCCAAAAGTAGTGTCGGTAGAAAAAAATGTTGAACCTGTTCTAACTAGAGAAAGTGTGGAAATTGATGAAAGAAACGCCAACATTTCTGAAATTGTAACCTGTGAGAGTGTTGAAAGCAACAGTATTGAGTGTGGAGAAGCTCTTGATAACACACAAATGAGCTTAAATCAGTTCTCTGATACTGAGTCACAAGTGGAGAGTGTAATTCAAAATGAGGACACTTTAATGGATATGGATCAGGTTGTTTTTAAAACACCTCTGAAGAGGAAGAAAAATGACAAGAGCATGGTTTTGAAACAGGCTAGGAAGGATCAAGAAGGGAGTAAAGTGGACAATGAAAGCAGTGAGGGTGAGTGCTCTGACTCTAGTGGCTCCGTTTGTTCACAATCCAGTTGGTCATGTCTTGAATATGGAGTGGATGAGATCAAGAAATTCTTGAAGGTGACCAAAAATATGAGAGGAGTGAAAGTTGAGGAATATTTTCCAGATTTCAGAAGACTTCTGGAAAATATTAAGAGTTCAATGAGTGAAGGAAGATTTACAGATAAAGAAGTATATCGTTTGAAAAAAATTGTCACAAAAATTCAACTCCAATTGAATAATGATGATGAGATGGTTTAGTATTTATGCTCTTATTGGATGTATTGCTTTCTGTGCTGTAGTTTCTCTTTCATTTTTAATTATGAGTGACATTCGTATTGCATCTCTAAATGTGAATGGGGCTAGAGATTGCAGAAAGAGAGCTCAGATTTATGAAGTAGCGAAACAGAATAAAACTGATGTCCTGTTTTTACAGGAGACACATAGTGATGTGGAAATTTCTGTTGAATGGGCTAAGGAATGGGGTGGTCTTCTTTTTCTGAGCCACAATACTTCACTCAGTGGAGGAGTTGCAGTTTTGTTTAATAAAAATTTTGCTCCCTCATCTTGTTCAGTAGAGGAGATTGTAAAAGGTAGATTGTTAAAGATAAAAGCTCATTTTGAAGATCATGTTTTTGTTTTTATTTGTGTATATGCACCAACCTCACAGACAGAAAGAATGTTGTTTTTAGATCAATTGAATACAGTAGTAGAAAAATGTGATAATGAAGATTTTTTGGTTGTGGGAGGAGATTTTAATTGTGTCGAAAGAAATATAGATAGGAATCATGTAGAACCACATATGGCTTCACGCCGAAAACTGATACAAATGATAGAGGGGAATGAGCTTGGTGATGTATGGAGAAATTTTAATCATGATGCTAAACAATACACATGGACGCATGCTCGTGAAAATGTGTTGTCAATGGCGCGATTGGATAGGTTTTATGTCTTCAAACATCATCTTAGTTTTTTTGTAAATGGCTCAATTCTTCCAGTAGGCTTCTCTGATCACAGTTTGGTTGTGTGTAGAATGATTGTTAGTTCTGTTAAATTAAGTAGTTCTTATTGGCATTTTAATGTGACTTTGTTGTCAGATTTACAGTTTAAAGATGTTTTTAGGTTTTATTGGGAGTCTTTTAAAGAACAAAAAGATCAATTTTCCTCTTTACAGGAATGGTGGGACATTGGGAAAGTAAACATTAAGCAATTATGTCAACAATATACTCTAAATGTCACAAGAGTTTTAACTCAGTCTATAAAGAAGTTAGAAGAGGAAATTATAGAAATTCAAGTTTTAATTCAAGAAACAGGAAATCAAGACCATTTAGATTCTCTTTTCATGAAAAAAACAGCATTGTCTGAATTCTATAAAAGAAAGGCACAAGGGGCATTGGTCAGATCACGCTTCCAGGATGTGGAGCAGATGGATGTTCCATCAAAGTTTTTTTTCGGATTAGAAAAAAAGAACGGTCAAAGACGTTATATTCAGAATTTAAGGTCTGAAGCTGGGGTTCTGTTATCAGACCCAGTCGAAATGAGAGAAAGAGCTGTTACATTTTATAAAAATCTCTATAGCTCTGATCTTAGGAAAGATCAAGATGTTGATGGTTTCTTTTTTGAAGATCTGCCAAAATTATCAGAAAGTGCCAATGCAAAACTTAGTGAAGGTATAACTTTAATTGAACTGTATGAAGCTCTCCAGAGTACGCAAAACGGGAAGGTTCCAGGGGTAGATGGGATTCCTTTTGAATTCTATAAAGCATACTGGGGCATTATAGGAGAAGACTTGCTTGCAGTTCTTCGTGATAGTTTGCTCTGTGGTTTTTTACCACGTAGTAGTCGGAGAGCAGTTCTTACACTCCTCCCAAAGAAAGGAGATTTGAGTGATATTAAAAATTGGAGACCAGTGTCTTTACTGTGCTCTGACTATAAAATTCTGTCTAAAGTATTGGCGATTAGATTAGGGAAAGCTTTAGATGACATAATTAGTCCTGACCAATCCTATTGTGTGCCTGGAAGATCTATATTTGATAACATTTTTTTAATCCGAGATTTGTTGGATCTTTCAAAGAGTTGTGGTGTTAATTTTGGCTTGATTTCCATTGATCAGGAAAAGGCTTTTGACCGCGTAGAGCATGATTATTTATGGAAGACTCTTGATGCCTTTGGTTTTAACTTGGTTTTTAAAGATTATATTAAAGTATTATATAATGACATTGAGAGTATGTTGAAATTTAATGGTGGCTTGTGTTTTCCTTTTAAAGTTCAGCGTGGAGTGAGGCAGGGGTGTTCATTATCAGGCATGCTCTATACATTAGCAATAGAACCACTTTTGCAAAGATTGAGAAGGGTTCTAAATGGCCTCACATTGATGAACTGTGAACGTTCTTTTGTTTTATCAGCTTATGCTGATGATGTTGTTGTAATTGTAAAAGAGCAAAATGATGTAAACCTTTTAATGAAAACTTTGGATGAGTTTGAAATGATATCAGCTGCAAAAGTGAATTGGTCAAAGAGTGAAGCTGTTTTGGTGGGAGAGCGGATAACAGTGCCCCCCAAACTCCCTGGTGGTCTGATATGGAAAAAAGATGGGTTAAAGTACTTGGGAGTTTATTTGGGGGATGAGTCTTTTCAATTAAAAAATTGGGAAGGAATGATTGAGAAAATAAAGGGCCGCTTGGATAAATGGAAGTGGATTAAGAAAATATTGTCCTATAGGGGTCGAACCCTTATTATTAATAACCTTGTTGCTTCATCTCTTTGGCATCGACTGATTTGTGTTGACCCACCACTACTTTTTCTTGCTAAGATACAATCGATGTTGATAGATTTTTTCTGGGATAAGATGCACTGGGTGATCCATAACATCTTGTACTTACCAAAGGAAGAAGGTGGACAAGGGCTTGTGCATCTACAAAGTCGGACAGCAACTTTTCGTGCACAGTTCATACAACGTTTCCTGACAGGCCCAGAGTCTGTAAGTTGGAGACCAGTGGCAAGTGCTATCTTAAAAACTGCTGCAGGTTTAACTCTGGACAAATCTTTATTTTTATTGGATCCAGAAACTTTAAATGTGGAGAATTTCCCAGTTTTTTATCGGAATCTTTTTAAAGTATGGAGTCTTTTTAAACTCCAAAGGATAAACAATCCCACATCATTGTATTGGCTTTTGGAAGAGCCTTTGCTTTATGGTGCAAGACTGGACATTACTAATGCATCAGTGTCACTGACAGAAGCCTTTGTAAAGGCTAAAGTGGTGACTCTTCGTCAATTGATGAGTCTGGCAGGACCAGATTTTATTGAAGTGGATGCGGTGGCAATAAAACTGGGGATTAGATCCACTCGACTGGTTGAAAAACTGTTACGAAAGATACAGATTATCCTTACAGAGGAAGAGACCGATTTACTCAAGAGACATTGTGAGGGAGAAATTACTCCCAATGATAAAGATTGTTTTCCAAGGTTGATGGTTTCACCTAAATTAGAGGAGGAAGGTGGAATTTTTTTGGAATCAGAAAAAGTAGTGGTCATGGACTTTGAAGATGTAAATGGTAAGAGGTTGTACAAGTCATGTGTGAAATGTTTTAATAAAAAAGCATTAAATGGGAAAAATGATACACCTTGGCGAACTGTGTTAGGTTTGGAGGAAGTTTTTAAGCCAAATTGGAGAACGTTTTACAAGCCACCATTAAATAAGAAAATTGGAGATTTGCAGTGGAGGATTTTACATTGTATTATTGCTGTAAATGCCTTTATATCTGTGTTGAATCCTGAGGTAGGCCATGAATGCCCATTTTGCCCACAAAGGGAGACTGTTTTTCATGTTTTTATGAGTTGTCATAGACTTAAACCTTTATTTGAGTTTTTACAAAATTTGTTTAGGTCTTTTGATGAAGAATTTTCAATGCAAGCTTTTATTTTTGGGGTAAAATATACAAAAAGAAGAAAGAGAGAGTGTCAGTTGTTAAATTTTGTTTTGGGCAAAAGTAAAATGGCAATATACATGAGTCGGAAAGAAAAAATTGAAAAAAATCAAGATTTTGATCTGGTGTCTATGTTTGGTGCCATGGTGAAGTCAAGAATTTTGATTGATTTTAGGTTTTATAAAGCTACTTCATGTCTTGCCATGTTTGAGGATGTTTGGTGTTATGGAGGGGCTTTGTGCTCTGTTGTAGATGAAAATCTTTGTTTTAGGCAATTTATGTAATGTATTTTAAGTAGGTTGTTTTTAATGTTTTGAAAAAAGAAAAGAAAATTTGTAATAAAGGTGTTTTCAAATTCTAATTTCTCTCTCTCTCTCTCTCTCTCTCTCTCTCTCTCTCTCTCTCTCTCTCTCTCTCTCTCTCTCTCTCTCTCTCTCTCTCTCTCTCTCTCTCTCTCTCTCTCTCTCTCTCTCTCTCTCTCTCTCTCTCTCTCTCTCTCTCTCTCTCAGGCCGCAGGGCTTGTCCTGGAGAGAGTTTGGCCAGGATGGAGCTCTTCCTGTTCTTCACTTCCCTCCTTCAGCATTTCCGCTTCACTCCTCCTCCTGGAGTGTCTGAAGATGATCTGGATCTCACACCAGCGGTGGGCTTCACCCTGAACCCAGCCTCACACAAACTGTGCGCAGTGAAACGCTTGTGAAATCTGTTCAATTTTTTTTACAGTACAGTTGATAGTTTTCAATCAGAAACAGCACTTGCTATTCTTTATGTTCAAACATCACAAATCTCAGGAATCACAAATTTTCCGCATTCACAAAGCGTTGAACAACCGCCGTATGTAAGTCACAATACTGAAGACAAGATATGTTGTTACTGTGTGACTTTTAAAATCAGTGTGCCGATTATTTCATTTTAAAGAACTTTTTATGCAAAAAAGGTTCTAATACATTTATTACATGATTGCATAATACTTTAATGTTTATTGGTTTATTTAATATTATATAGCGGGGTAATATTATATAACAGTTGTTAAACCCCGGAGGGTGCGTTTTATATCTTGTGCAATAGTGAGGATTGAAGGAGTGTTGGTGCTCTTGTGCTTCTGTTGTGAGAGTGCTGGAGAGAGTGGAGTGAAGACTGCAAACTTCAGCCAGACAGCAGGGAGTTAGCTTGACCAGCAGAGAGTTGTATCAAGGCTTCCAGGTTCCTTCTCATTAATCCCTCTCTGAAAGAGAAAAGGGTAAACAGACGTTAGTGAATGTCTTGGTGATCAAAAACTCGACTGGTCTTTCTTCGTTTCTGAATGTAAAAAAAAAAAAAAAAACCTTTTCCAAAAAAGGAGGGTTTTGTCAGGTTCAGGTCACTTCTGGCTGCAAATTTGTTTTCAAAATCCGTTTTAAGTAGACACACAGACCGTTTGGTTGTTTTGGTTTATGAGGAGCTGTGATTTCTGTTAGGAATGTGACCTCTAGACAGACGTCAGCTGGCGTGCTGTGAACTGTTTTCAGCTCCACCCTTCATGTTTTCAGCTTGTAGAGACACAATGACCTGAAACATTTCTTCACACATGTTTTAATTAGTTTTTTGTTTGTTTGTGAAGACACGGTTGTGGTGGAGATCTCTGTGACTATGGCTTTAGTGGAAACGCTTCTCATGCATTTGTCCAGCTTTACTTGCTGCTGTTCTGCTGTTTTCTGTTGTCTATCTATTCTCCATCACCTCCAGCTCTCCAGAAGATCCTCCAGGACCCAAACCACTGCCACTGCACTGTAAAAAAAAAAAGTTTTTTCACAGAAATATACTGTATTATTTTACAGATATTTTCTGTTTTTTTAACATTACGTGTAAATATCATTAAAATACAGAAAAAAACTTTTATTAAAAACATTAACCATAAAATAAAAGTAATAATCTGTAAATTCATATAAGGAGAAATTATAGTTTTTTTACAGGATTATTCTTTTGTTTAATTGGCTTGAATGTTAAATTACATTAAATTCTATGTAAAAAGACAAACAAATCACTTATTTAAAATTAAGACAACTATGTGTTTTTTTACTGTGAAACCTTAAATTTAAGGTAAATACATGTAAAAAAACAATCGTAAAAAAACGGTAAAAAGTCTGGCAGCAAAGTTGCCAAACACTTACCGTCAAATTACAGTAAAAAACCTTAAGTTATTCTACGGAATAATTCTGTTTTTTAAAATACAGATATTTACTGTAAACATTTTCTGTATTTTTACAGTTCCACTGCTGTAGAATTAAAAGAAAATCTCATTAATAAAATGTCTGTAGAACATTAAACAAATGAATAAATCTGCAAATAAACTGGAAATTATTGCAGAAATACCTTACAATTATACAATTAAAGAAGTCTTCTGTTTTTACACAGTATTCTTTGGTAAATTCATAACATTATCAATTACATCCACAAGAACTCCCTGTCAAAGTACAGATTTTTAGATGTAAAACACGTACTTTTCACATTAATGTATAGGTTTACTTTGAATAAACATACTTTTATAGTAATTAAACGCAACTATCCAATATAACTACATACTTTTAATTCAAGGAGTTCACTTTATATAAACATTGTTTTATAGTAAATAAAAGCAACTATCCAATCTACATTACTTTAACCTTAATGTATAGGGTTAGGGTTAGGTTAGCACCTCACACCTATCAAATACAGGGTAAATGTAAAACTTCCAAGTCCCCTGCCACCAATGCAGATATTTTTCAGAAGCAAAGATAAACTTTGTTGGCCACATCAGCTTAAGATTCAACAAGTGCAGATACAAGAGTGATAGATAAAAAATCTATAATAAAAAATAAAAAAACAGCTATGTAGGCTATACCTTTCATGCAGATATGCTGTAAATAAAAATTGAACATAATAATTACTGTGTGTTATACTACAGAAACAGATCTAAAAATATTGCCTTGAAAGATGGATGAATACAGCAAGAGATATTGTTGCACAGTGTAACTAAATATACAGTTATTGTACATGAAATAATTGAGCTTAAGTTTAATATAAAATTAAATCAAGAATAGTCAGTGATTGTTTATGCATCCTATATCCAGTGTTTCTACTGTCAGGTACCACTGACTCAGTGTTTACAATTCTGAAGTGTTCTGTAACAATTTCATAAGTGGCAGAGAAAAAATTGAGTGGCAACATTTTCAGACCCCACCCCGTGCACTAGCTGCTGCTCTCTGGTGCTGCAGCCTCAAGTCTCGGATCATCATGCTTTGGGACAGTTTTTCCGCAAGACAACCAGGCTCAAGAATGCTGGACACTAACCTCCTAATGCCTGTCTGCCTGTTGGTGTGAAAGGACTCTTGAATCTTGTGTGCTGATATGTCCTCTTTTGGCTTGGCTTTTAAGGGTGACATTGTCTGTTTGAAATGCTGCCCTGACAGTGATTTTCTGACCATATACTATATTGACACGTATCTCATATGCTTATTTGAGAAGAAAATATGTGATTCAATTTAAAAGTAAAGGCTGTAAATCCACTTTAAAAACGTTGAAGCATTAAGACACAAAGTCAATCTATATTCAACAAAATTCAAGGCCCTCACTGCAGTGAAATCATTAGGCCACTCCACAATTTTCTCGGTTGATGGGAACAAACCGCCACACTATGAATAAAGCTTTACAATGGGGTGCTATATATTTTTAATTTACAATAGGTGAGCAATGTGTGAAAGACAAGGAATTTATTCTGGGGCTCGAGTTCAACCAAGGCTCTTGTAGCATAAACTTGAGCTTTGATAAACTGGGGGTAAAGGAATTGAAGACATTAAAATGGTTGAAACATTACACAACGTAAACAAACATCCTAATTGTTTTTCTAGTCTCTGTGCTTTAGATATCAAGAAAGTGCGCGCAGATTCAAATAATTTAATGTTGTACAATCATTGGACGAATCATATGCCAGAGGTAATCTCGACCAATGATGTTGTTTGACTTTGGGAGGGGGATACGTCATAACTTAGCGCGAAGCAGTAGAGAGCCTGCCCTGGATAAAGTATGGAGCATTTCCACGATATCGGCATTCAGCTTTCACTAAAGGTAGATTAATATACCCAGTCGGCACATGACCGACCTTCAACGTTGAAATATGATTGAAATAATGCCAGTCATTGAAACAACGTTTAATGCTAAATGGTTGGAAAAAGGTTAACAAAAACACTTTCTAAATCAACGTTTAATTTTTTACAAGATCTGTACGTTGAAACAATGTAATGTTTTCAACAACATACATAAATATCTGCCTTTTAACATATTATTATGATAATTCATTAGCATTTAATGATTTTTCTTATTTTCATAACAGTTCTTCAATGTATATGTTAAAATATAAGTATTATCATTAACAATAATAGTTTCACCCTCAACAGGGCAGTGCAGCAGAAACCTTTTGCTTTATGTGATTTTGTGTGAATTTACAATTTTGTATGCTTGCCAATTTTGTCTGCTTGCCTTACAGTGTACATTGCATTATTACATATTCATACACTGTCATGTCATTTGACCAATTAATTAAATAATAATACAGACTGCAACTCGCGCAAACTATTGCTATTGTTATTGGTTGTTTCTCCGTTTTACTTTGAGCATGATTGGTTAATCTGTCTGTCTTCCAGGAAACTGTCCAATGAGAATGTGCGCGGCTCTGCGCGCCTATTTTAAGTTTGAAAATACGTCCGTTACTCTCGGTTGGTGTGAGCAGCTGCTGTTTGCGTTGATTACTCGGTCAGACCTGGATTATTTTATATCTGCCTGTTGAATTCTAAAATTTTGAGCGAATTTTAGTTGCTATGTCAATGAAGAACAAAAGCTGGAATATGAACAGACAGAGGAGTACGTGGTCTGTTGGCGATATCAGGTAAGAAAACATTTTTTAGTCCTTAACAGTCTAACGTTTACTGCTTCACTATTAACGTAAGTTAGCTGCTAGCGATATTAGCACGTATTTCAATGTGTTAGTACCATCTAACATTGCTGTGTTTTGTTGTTGGTAAATTAACATGAGGTAAAAAAAGCGTGGGAATGAGTAAAGTGATAAAACCGTCATTTCTTCGTTAGAAGTATGTTTACATAACCTCTTCAAACACTGATAACATATTGAAAAGATATTTGTTTACTTTATTTTTTATTTTTTAGATCAAGCATTGGAATAAGATGTTTATCGGGGTAGAACACCCAACAGAAAGACCCATTCACCAACTAACGTTACAGTAAGTCAGTTTTACCCACGTACTGTTCGAAAACCTACACTGGGATAGTATTAAGTGTGATGTGATTTTCATACTGTTACTGATGGAAAGTCTGAGTAACTTTCTGTCCTTTTGTCTTTCTTCTGCTGAAGTGGCACACTGAAAGGGGAGATTCGTGTCACCTTCATCAGTCCTTTCTTTAATCACTGGAAACCATTAGCAGCTAAGGGAAAGACCCTCAGATGCAGGTAAAATTATTTGATGGGGTTAGGGTTATTTGATTTTGGTGTATCAACTGGCATTTTTTTTGTGTGTGCTTCCCTTTCTATGATAACGTTAACGTTACACATTTCTGACGGGATTGCCATGCTTTATGTGTATGTTTACATTTTAAATCATGTAATAACTAACAGTCTCAAAGATGACATTACTCAAAGATAACATTTTTACAATTTAAATAAATTTCATATACATAATATATATATATATATATATATATATATATATATATGTTTCCTCACAA